TTTGCTCATGTTATAAACTGGGAGTAGAGGCAGTCCCCGTGTTACAAACATATGACTTAGATACGACTTATACTTAGGAATGGAAGCAGTGTGACGTCAGGCTGGTCCCAGAAACCACCGGACGGCCACCTTGCTACTCACAACATGCTGCCACCTACTGTCCGGCGGACCAGTCAGCAATCCCACATCACTGTATGCCCAGTTAACCCTTCCCTATGCTAACAAAATTTTTTTTTTAAATTTTGGCTAGAGTTACACTTACAAAATGTACCTGTTCCAACTTACATACAAATTCAAGAACTGCAACTTTATTCTCTCAATCAACAGTAAATATTTTGAATCCTAATACTGCTAGCCAGTGGCGTCCCTAGGCAGGTGCGGGGGTGCGGTCCACACCGGATGACACCGACCGCACGGGGTGACACTGGACCCATGCCACAAAAAGATAAGTTGTAGAGCAAGCCGACGATCCCCGCAGGATGGATCCGATCCATCCTGCGGGGAGCGTTGGCTTGCTTTACAACTTACCTTTTCTTGGAGCCGATCCGGTGTCACCCCGTATAGGTAGCATGCCGACAATCCTGCGGGGATTGTCGGCATGCAACTTATACGGGGGTGACATCAGACCCACTCCAAGAAGAGGTAAGTTGCAAAAAAAGCAGACGATCCCTGCAGGATGGATCGGATCTGCGGATTGAGTATAATTGATCGAAGTCTGAACCATTATGCTCAAACTGCAGATCCGATCCATTCTGCGGGGATCATCGGAGGGGGTGTCACCCAGTGTTACCACACTGGGTGACACAAACCCTAGGGACGCCTCTGCTGCTAGCATTAGTAAATAGATAGAAAGGTAAGTCATATTTACTTATTTTAAACAGTTTTTTTACATAATTACTGTACATAGTTCATTTACTTCCTGGTTTCCACTCCTAGGCAAATAATATCATACATCCCAGAAGTCTTCAGGAGGGGAGGAGGAGTTTTCTCAGCTAACCACACCCTCCCACCTGCATGCCTGAGTTAAGGGGAGATGGATTCCAGGAAGTAAATGCTACAATCTGCGAGTCTTCTGCCCTTACTCAAGATGGCTAGAAATGCCGGGGGGGGGGGGGTTTTCTAAGTGATTTCTCAGCCAAATAAGGCATGGAGACATGGATGGATGGGGGTGTTTGCATTGAATATTAAGCCCTCATGCACAAAGGACATTTTTGCAGCCACTTTTAGGGGCATCAGGCGTTTTTTTGTTTACTGCTTCCAAACGGCCCTCCATGTTATCCTATGGATCCATGCACACAGATTTTTAGTAGCAGTAGCGTTTACCAGCAAGAAAAGAAAACCCAAGGCCAGTGTGTCCAGAAGCAGCAGCATTTTGGCAGAAAAAAAACGCTTTGCATGTGTAAACGCTAGGCACGTTTTAGCACTTGAAAGCTAATTCATTTTCAATGGCCAGAATAACTTATTCTGGCCAAAGAAATGAATAATCCACTTGCCCTCCAGAGGATTTACCCCCCTTCCTGACCAGGCCATTTTTTGTGATCCACCGCTGTATTTAACTGACAATTGCGCGGTCATGCAACGCTGCACATAAGTTAAATTTATGTCATTTTTTCCCACAAATAGAGCTTTCTTTTGATGGTATTTGATCCCCTCTGCGTTTTTTTTTTTTTTTGTGCTATAAATATTTTTTACTTTTTGCTATAAAACATATCAAATAAAAAAATTTCAAAATCACATTTCTTCATAAATTTAGGCCATAATGTATTCTATGTTTTTTGCTAAAAAAAAATCCCACTAAGTGTATATTATTTGGTTTACATGAAAGTTATAGCATCTACAAATGGCGGTATCTATACTGGAATTTTAAGGTTTTTTTTATACTAGTAATGGCGGCGATCAGAGACTTATAGCGGGACTGCAGGGGGCATTCTGACACTGGGTGGGAACTAACGGCCACTGACATCCCCAGTGACACTAATACAGTGATCAATGCTAATAAAAAGCACTGAAACTGTACTAATGACACTGGGCAGAAAGGGGTTAACATCTGGGGCGATCAAAGGGCTAACAGTGTGCTATGTTGTGTTTTACTAGGGAGACATGCTGCTTTGTATCTCTCTGCGTGCGCCCCCTACCCGGTAATGCAAATCATGTATATTTACGTGATTTTGCGCATCGGTGCCGCCCTGTAGCAGTACTTCTGCTATAGGGCGGAGGGTAACTGGTTAAAGCCCAAAACACGTTAGACACTTTCACAAGCATCAGGCATTTTTTCATGCCAAAACACTGCTACCAAGAGGAGAAGCGTTTTTAAAAACCAGTTGTCTACAGGGCACTTCTACCCCCTTCCTGTCCAGGCCAATTTTCAGCTTTCAGTGCTGTTGCACTTTGAACGACAGTTGCACAGTTGTGCAATACTGTACCCATGTGAAATTTTTATAATTTTTTTTCACACAAATAGAGCTTTCTTTTGGTGGTATTTAATCACCACTGGGGTTTTATTTTTTGCACTATAAACAAAAAATTAGCAAAATCTTTAACAAAAAGTTTTTCCTTGTTTCGATTATAAAATTTTGCAAACAGGTAATTGTTCTCCTTCATTGATGTGCGTTGATGAGGCTGCACTGATAGGCAGCACTGATGAGGTGGCATGGATAGGCTGCACTGATGAGGTGGCACTGGTGGGCATTGATGAGGAGGCACTGATGAGGAGGCACTGATAGGCAGCAATGATGGGCACTGATGAGGAGGCACTGATATGCAGCAACGACGGGCACTGATGAGGTGGCACTGGTGGGCACTGATGAGGCACTGATAGGCAGCAATGAGGGGCACTGATGAGGAGGCACTGATAGGCAGCAATGAGGGGCACTGATGAGGAGGCAATGATAGGCAGCAATGATGGGCACTGATATGCAATGATAGCAACAACGATGGGCACTGATGAGGTGGCACTGGTGGGCATTGATGAGGAGGCACTGATAGGCAGCAATGATGGGCACTGATGAGGAGGCACTGATAGGCAGCAATTATAGGCACTGATGAGGAGGCACTGATAGGCAGCAATTATAGGCACTAATGAGGAGGCACTGATAGGCAGCAATTATAGGCACTAATGAGGAGGCACTGATAGGCAGCAATTATAGGCACTAATGAGGAGGCACTGATATGCAGCAATGATGGGAACTGATAGGCGGCACTGACTGACGATCAAGGCACTGATTATCAGTGCAGATCTGCTCTGACATTTGCTGGTTGTAGTACGGTAGTAAAATGGATAAAACATCCGGAGTGCACAGGCCCTAACAATGAACACTAGTGTGTGTGGTTTGTGGTGCTCAGATACGGTGCAGCTCCGCTTTGAGAACAAACCTACAGAACCTTTCCTGTTCATAACCTGGGGACTGCCTGGTATATATGGTGTGCCTGGGCCTTAGCCTGGGCCTCCAGAACGTTCTGTGGGGTCAGCTATTCTCGGACTAGGACAGGTAAACTAAGGCCCTCCTCAATCATCTTCTAGTGAAACATTTAAGCGGAGCCATTGTTAATAACCAGCCTGAGGCAGCTTTGGCCGTGAATAATTTACACCGCGCACGGAGCCCTGGCCGTGAACTTCTCCGAGCTCATGAGAAAAGTAAAGCCGACTTTTGATCAATCAATGGCCGGGCCTGAGGGGGGCGATTTATGAAGTGGAATCAGCTGGTGTGCATAGTGCCAGCAATCAGCTTTCCCGCTCCGACTGGAAGAACGAGTTCTCCATAGTTTAGTAATTAGGGTTACGCAGGGGCGGCTGCTCTGTGAGAGAAGGAAGAGGACGAGCCGCTCGGGGGTGCTGAGCTTTGTACAGAGACCTGAGAGGAGGAGGGCAAGAGGAAAGAGAGAGAGAGGAGAGCGCCAGCAGTGTGTATACGCAGGAGGAGTTCAGTCCTCGGGACACTCAGGAAATGGTGATCATGACAGAACCGTCCTGGCAGCCTGACGAGCCGAACAGGACCCCGAGAAAGGACTACAAAGGAGTGTCGTCTTTGTGAGTATAATACATAGAGGTGGGGGCGGACGGAAACGGTGGCTTTGTGTACTTTTAGGCCGGTCCTGTCCTCTGTACGGCGAAGTTTGTGTGCGGGGGAGTGGGCTCGCTGCTATACACTGCCATGTACTGTGCTGGGCTGCCATGTACTGTGCTGGGCTGCCATGTACTGTGCTGGGCTGCCATGTACTGTACTGGGCTGCTATGTACTGTGCTGGACGGGGGCTCCTGCCTCTCTTCAGCCAGGTCTCCCGCCGGGCCGGACGGGGTCCCCTGCCCCCCTCTGCTCGGCCGGGTCCCCTGCCCCTCTGTTCGGCCATGTCTCCCACTGTGCTGTGGGGTGATATTAATCAAGGCAAACAGGCCGCTCGCTTTTAATGGGAATTTTTCTCCAGGGCTTGGTGGATGAGGTGAGGTGACGTTTCACCTCACAAAGCACACCCAATCACATACTAAGTAAAGTTTGTTTTTTGTTTTTTTCCTCTCACGTGATTGGATGATGGAAGTCAGCAGAGCTTCGCCTCATTCACTAAGCTGTAAGGAAAAACTTGCAAAGTGAATGGTTTTAGGCATTACGTTTAAGTGTAGAAGTGTGTGTGGGGGGGGGGGGGGGGTAGTTTAAAATTGCGCAGTTGTGCCTCCTTTTAATCGCCCCCTTAAGCAGCAGTAGGTGGGAGTATTTACTTGCTGCAGTTGTGATGCTTCTCTTTGTACCTGCAGCAAAATCTACCTGATGTAGCCCACTTAAAGCAACACATGGAAGCGCCATGAACACCACACAGTTGCACGATGGAGTTGAAGCGGGTGAAGAGCAGTGTGTTAGTTTCCATCTAAAATATTTTTGTTGATGAAATTAACAATTTTAGTTAATACTAAAATACGACTAAAACTAAAATGGCATTTTTGGTCAAAAGACCAAAAAAAACGAAATTTTGAAGTCAAGATGAAAGTGTTACTACACCCAGGGCCCTGCATTCACTATATCTGGTCTCCCACAGTACACACAACATGGAAATGCAATTATTTTAGTAAATATAAACTGCTAAATACCTTTTCTCACTAGTTAGAGCAGTCTTGTGACTTCTATCAGTGTTCAGCTGAGCACTGGTTACAGCTTGTAGTTTTTCTGCTCTAGGAGGATGCAGAACCCCTGACCTCTGTCTGGACAGTGCTGATTGCATGCACTCTCCCAAGAAAAAAAAAAAAAAAAAACCTCTCTAGCAATACACACCAAACTGAGCATGTGCAGTGTGACTCCACATGATATCTTATCAGGAAATACAAGGGGGAGCACTGGAAGAAGGGGAGGATCAAAAAAGACAAGATCAAACAGCATTTTTACCCAATTTGAGGCATTAACCCCTTAGGTTCCACAGTGAATATAACAAGCATGCTTTACTGCATATACAGACCAGAGTGATTTTACTGTTGTGGGTTTAGTAACACTTTAAAGCGGTTGTAAAGGCTCAAGGTTTTTTACCTTCATGAGTGTGTAGAAGCCCTGTAACACCTGAGCCAGCGATGTCCACGAGAGCCTTGGTTCTCTGCAGACTCACTCCTGATTGGCTGAGGCAACAGTGGGAGCCATTGTCTCCTGCTGTCAATCACAGCCAGTGAGCTAATCGAGAGGGGGTGGGGCCAAGCCACGGCTGTGTATGAATGGAGACACAGCCATGTCTTGGAAGCTTGCCTGGTCAGGTGCCCCCATATCAACCTGTTTGCTATGGGGGCACCCATCAGGAGGGAGGGGCCAGGAGCACCGGGGTGGGGGACCCAAGGAGAGGAGGATCCGGGTTGTTTGTGCAAAACCACTGCACACAGTAGGTAAGTATAGACATGTTTATAAAAAACGTTATCGCTTTAAATAATTACAATTTGAAGTCAGAATTTAGTTGACTACAATACAACTAAAACAATTCAGATGACTAAAATACGACTAAAAATAAAATGGCATTTTAGTCAAGACTCCTCACGGTCTATCAGTCACCTCTGATGTGCAATCTGAACGTTTGGAGGAATAGGTAGATTTAGACACACAATGCTTATTGCCGGATTTAATCCTCCCCTGTGACTCCGGGTTGTGCAGCAATGTTTTCTATCAGTCCCTGCACACAGCCTCCTGGTGGTCTTTTGTAGCAGAACTAGGTTCTCAGAAATACTCCCCTTCACCTTTCAGGGATACAGTGGTTACATCCCTCATTGGTTGTAGTCATATTCTCTCCATCTACTTCTGGGTTGTCAGCGCCTTGATTGGCTGATGAAATGTCATCCCACGCATGCGCACAGTAGTCAGTCACTCTGGCCCAGTGGGAGTGCACGAGAATGAATGCTTAGGTGCACATTTGTAGCTCAATGTGTAGTCAACAGAAGACTGCAGACAAGGTAAGTGTTTCTTTTTGTAGAAGAAACCTTGCATGTCTCTTCTGCAATAAAGCGCTGTCTGCTCACAGCTTTTCGGTTAAGTTCAGTTCCACTTGAAGTGAGCTTTAATGCCCACAAATAGGTGCAGCTTATCTACCGTGAATGCTGTGATTGGCTTTCACAGTGGTCGTGTGATCGGGAGCCCGCCCCTCTGTCTCCAAATCGGTAACCCGGAAAGGGAGTTCTCAAGGACAGCTCTTTTCAGTTTGCGTGATTGCGCTCTCAGGCTGCTGCAAACGTGTTGCGGATGAAAAGTTGTTAAAATATTGGACTGCGACTCCCCCAAGTTGTACAGTTTTTTTCATTTTTTCTGTTATACTGGATTGTGATTGCAGTTTGTAAAGCAATATTTTCAGTCAGGGCCCATTCATACAGGTGTTTAGCTATGTACAGAATGAAGCTCGTTTTTTATTTTTTTTGTTGTACAACACTGAGCAGTATACAGAGCTCTATATAAGGGCCGGTTCACAGCAGGTACAGTCCAGTGTGCGTTTTTTTTTTTTTTCTCTGCATCAAAAACGCATGGAAAGTAGGTTATATGGTTTCCAATGGCATAGTTCACACCAATGCTGTCAGTTTCAGAAAAAAAATTGTAGAAAATGCTGCATTTTTTCTGTACTGGCCTGTACTGGAGCGTGATCAAAAGGCATAAAACACACTGGAATGCATCAAAAATGCGTCGGACCTCAGTAAAGTGGAAAAAAAACGGATAAAACAATCTGCAAACTTGCCAAAAATGCACCGGAACACATAAAATGCGCATGCAGAAAACGCATCCAGAACGGATCTGGAGTGTATTTTTTTTTGGCAGGGATGGGTGAGCAGACCATGACACAGCCTCCAGGCCATGCACCTGTTCTCTGCATATCTGTCAGTCTCAGCCATGCGGATGAGTCCATACATGTGAAGTGCGTCTTCACTTATATAGGCTGCCTGCACGCAGCTCATTGCTGGTACAAATAAAATGAAGTTCTCTTCACACTGCACAGGGATGAGTACCTTGTAAATGAGCCCTTTTGCTGTGCTGTTACTCCAGGCTGTACAGCGATGCTTTCTGTCCAGCCAGACACTGACTCCAGCTTATCACTCCTTATAAAGGAATTGGGTCAGGTTGTTGGCATTCCTGGCATTACTGTGAGATGATCGTCTTTGGCGTTACTGCATGTACATTCCATGCCCGGGATTTAACCTATAAATAGTGTCATGTTGACTATTGTCTATGCGATAAATTTAGACTAATATTCCTCAGATTTTTTAGGGATCATGCACATGGACTTGTTCAAGCATACACCCCAAGGATTTGGCGTGTTTTCTTGCCCTGAAGTCACAGGTGTTGGCACAGAGTTGTGCCAACTAATTGTTAGGCTTTCAGATGCCATGGCTGTGTACACTTGGAACAGGGACAGCTGAGGGCTCCTCATTCCCTGTACATGTGCAATTACTGTGTGGATACAGCAGCAATGTCTAACAATCTGTAATTGGCTGCTGGCCATGGCTTTACACTGACACATTATTATTATTATTATTATTATTATTATTATTTTTTATCTAGAGCCAACACTTTCATCTTTCAAGCAACAAAGATTTTGTCACTCCCAGTTTCAGGTCTTTGTTCATTGGCCCTTACCAGCTTGTGAAGCAGTAAATCAGATCGATCTGTTTGATTTGTTGCTTTGGAGGGCAGAGGAGGAATTTTTTTTAAGTGTTAAAAAAAAAAATAAAAATTTTAAAACAATTTTTTAAGTATAAAAGAGAAGCACAAGTGATCCTCCTTTTGCAGTGGGGTCCATGATATAAGGTGAGGAGATACCCATGAGGTGTGGTGAATGGCACGGTGGTGTTTATTCACGCTGAAGGAATTCGTATTGCTGTTCAGACACAAATTGATATATCGATTGAGGATTGCGGGAAGATTGGTTGGTGTATGGGACTCATATTGGACTACAGTTTTTATGCTTTAAAGCCGTAGAAAAAAAAAAAAAAAGGTATAATGTGCCGGTATGCATCGCATACCGGCACATTATGTAAAACGTGCCTTAAAACAAAGCCCTCCAGCGGTGCTCTCACTGATGTAGAGGCTCCATCTTCACCCCATCTGTTTTCCGGGTTCGTGAGCTTTGGCCATCTGACTGGCTGAGCAGCAGTGATGTCACTCCCCTGTGCAAGCGCACGGGTCTCTGGACACGGCAGTGCTCTGAAGGAACGGCGCAGGTATGCCATTCTTTCAGTGCGCTTTTGCCGTCTGTGTAAAAAAAAAAAACAAAATACCTTCTAAACTGTGCATGTTTAGGAGAAATTTAATTTTATCTGCAGGTAAACTTTATATATGCTTTTACCTGTAGGTAACAGTGCCTTTACTACCACTTTAAAAGTTATATATGTATCTTATACTGAATACTGGGGGAAATGTTTAATAAAGGGTTATGGTATGAGGATATATATTTGATTTATTGTAAGTGTGTTTTTTTTTTTTTCCAATGAAAAATTTGTTTGCACTGCAAAATATCGAGTGATGTAAAATATTGCAACAACCACTATTTTATTCTCCAGGGCTCTGCTCTCAGAATTTTGGGTGTTAAAATAAGCATTTTGTGTTAGAAAATTATTTAAGTGGTTAAAGCCGAATGCTAACTCGGTTTTCTAAAGCACATTGTATCAAACTTTAAAATTTATATTTATGGCTTTAACCTTTGTAGTATCTTGGTGTTGCTGATCCCCTGCAGCCTCTTTGCTGCCAGTTACAATCTACATGCATATACTCCAGCAGCTACATGGCATTTCTTGAGGTGGTTTTCCTCATGCTGACAACAGTCTATAGCTGTATGTGTACTAAAACAGCCACTTATAGTCTCCATCTGAAATAATATATTTGTATTTATATTGAATATGATATTTGAGGCAGGGACAGAGCATTGTTGCCCTGTTCATGGCAATATCAGGGCATTTTTAATGGACGCTACAGATTTAAAAATATTGAAAATGACTAGTGGTGCCCCGAAATGAGAATTCTGGTGCCGAAACAGATTATAAATCTTGTATAATATGATATCGAAATTCAGGATGCATGTGGCCGAAAACTAAACCGAAACGTATGTGGGGAGTCTTCAATTTTTTTTTTAATTTTTTTTTTTTTTTTTTCTCTACTTTCGTGTGTGTATATTGTGTGTTTTTTTTTTTATATAATAATATGTGTGTGATTTAATTGCTATCACATAGGGGACCAATATGTGATAGCATATGAATGACAAGTCCTCTTTGTAGGGGGGAGGGGGTGGGGAGAGGGGCAGTGGAGGGGGCAGGAAAGGAGCAGTGTATACAGAGGCTCCTCCCTGGCTGTCACTATATGTCAGTGCTGATTTTTAAATGTAATTGCCGGCTTTTTTTTTTTTTTCTTCTTCACTATAGCTCACAGAATTGGCTGTCACTTTCCCAGGAGCTAAAGGAAACTGTTTCTTTTTATCTCCAGAAAGAGACTAAAAGGAAACATTGTTTTAACTAGGGAAATAAACTAAAAGGAAACTGTCTTTTAGCTGGGGGGGGGGGGGTAAGTGACAACTGATTAGCTGAGCTATAGTGAAGGGGAAAAAAAAGCCAGTAATTACATTTAAAAACCGACACTGACATACACTGACAGCCCATCACTGTATACACTGCTCCTCTCCTGCCTTTCGCCGCCCCCCCCCCCGTCTGAAGTACACACAGTCCCCTGTATCGGCACCTGTACGGCTATTTTTCTTATCGCCAAAATGCCGGTAGCGCTATTTTTGGGCCGATATGTTAAAATGTAATCCTAAAGTCATTTTTAGGGACCCACTGAAGCATAAGTAACAATGACTTTGGGCTTTGAATTTGCATGTATTTTTTTTACATTTTTTTTATTTTTTTATTATGCCATCTCTTCCTGTTTTAGATTTTAAATCACTTGAAATGTGATGAATCTATCCAAACCCTTTCCAATTCTATAACAAAACTGAACAAAAATTAAATCTAGACACTGTTTCCTAGGAGTACTATTGTGA